TGATTGCCCAGCCCCTCTCACTCGCCCCCCTATCCCCCTCCACTCGTTCGCACCTGCTTTGACTCCAGAATCACGTTCTTGCGAACTAGGAACCGTCGCTTTGTGTTACCGCACACGTGAAAGTGAAGGGGGTACTTTCCCAAGCTGCCCTGCATCCCCAGCCCCTTGAACTGCACGCCATGAATCGTCTGGGGCGTGCGAGTCATGTAGACCATGAAGTGGCCGCCTGAGAGGGGGGAAGAAAGGGGGGAATGTGAAGCCGAGAGGAGGAGGGAGTACCATGAGCAAAGAGAGTACTCCCTGTCTCTTTGAGGGGGAAGAAACAGGGGGAAACACAGCGTGTTTGGAGTGCAAACGCACGCGTGTGTACAGGCAAGCACCAGACGCACACATGCACACATGCACACATGCACACATGCACACGTGGACACATGCACACATGCACACATGCACACATGGACACATGCACACATGCACACGTGGACACATGCACACATGCACACATGCACACGTGGACACATGCACACATGCACACATGCACACATGCACACATGCACACATGCACACGTGGACACATGCACACATGCACACATGCACACGTGGACACATGCACACATGCACACATGCACACAGGCAACCCTCATTACGATCACAATAATCTCACCATCGTATTGGTATGGAGGCTGTTCATGCACCCCTTGAATAACAATATTCCGTGTCAGCAGCGCCACCTCCGCTCGAACGTCCACGGTGCCGCCAAACCCGTCCCTCACAGCATTCTTCTCCCCATCGTGGGAGTGTTTCAGTGGGCGGTAGAGAGAGATGATGCTGCTGGATGGACCGGTTTTTCTCACTACAAGGGGAGGGGTGGGGGAGAAAGAGAAGTGAATGGGTCAGCAGCGCCACCTCGGCTCAAACATCCACGGTGCCACCAAACCCGTCCCTCACAGCATTCCTCTCGCCATCGTGAGAGTGCTTCAGAGGGCGGTAGAGGGAGATGATGCTGCTGGATGGGCCAACCCTCCTCACTGTGAGTGGGACGGGGAGAGGCAGAAGGAAGTAAGAGAAGTGCCTCTCCCCGTCCCAGCACTTGCACGTGCTGGATGGGCCAACCCTCCTCACTGTTGAGGGCCTGACGACTCCAAACCCGTCCCTCACAGCATGCCTCTTGCCGTCATGCGAGTGCTTCAGAGGGCGGTAGAGGGAGATGATGCTGCTGGATGGGCCAACCCTCCTCACTGTGAGTGGGACGGGGAGAGGCAGAATGAAGTAAGAGAAGTGCATTGTTGAGAAGTAAGAGAAGGGCCTGACGACTCCAAACCCGTCCCTCACAGTATGCCTCTCCCAGCTGTGCAAGTGCTTCAGATGGCGGTAAAGAGATATTACACTGGTGGATGGGCCGACTCTCCTCACTGCAATAGTGGGAAGGGCAGAAAGGAGGGGGAGTGGAGTGGAGTGGAGGGGAGTGGAGTGGAGTGGAGTGGAGTGGAGTGGAGTGGAGTGGAGTGGAGTGGAGTGGAGTGGAGTGGAGTGAGCAAGCCCGCTACTTTAAGCCCGTCCCTCACAGCGTGCCTCTCCCTCAGAGGGCGGTGCAGAGTTATGATGCTGCTGGATTGCCCGCCCAGCTCCAAGACAGCAATGACAGCCTTTTCGGCGTTGTTTGGATCCAAAAAGTCGTAATCGCCACCGCAATCACCCCCATCCCCCCCTGTAATGATTGCTCACCCACCTCCAGTAATGATTGCAACGCTCCAGGCACCTCATACATCGTCTCCTCACAATGGGGTAGAGGAGAGGAAGGACCAAAACTCACCTCCGGTAATGATTGCCTTTTCGGCATTATTCAGGTCTGGCGTCGTGCTCGCCACTGCAATCACGCCCCCTCGGGGCCACGCGCTGACGTCAGCGTCTACAGTGATCTGCCGCGCGCCCTTATTGGCCCGTCGGGCCAGCCGGACCCATGCGAGTGTGCTTGCGCCACCTGGCATGCCGTGGAAATCCACCTGACCGCCCACCTGAGAGCAACAGAGAGGGGGTGGAGTGAAACTCATGCCATGAAAACACACACCAGCAGCAATCCAACAACTTGCGGATCATGCATTTATTAGGGAAATTAAGAAACACGAACGAACTAGCATCAGCAGTGCACTCACCACCACGAACGCCTTGTGCCCGAGGCTGCGAGGGTGGGCAGGATCGGCCGGAGCTGGCTGCCGAAGCAAGAACTCGGACCTCCCAAACCTGAGAAATGATGAGTCGCACAAGACAGGAAATCAGGGGGAGAAGAATGAAAAAGTTTCTTCGAAAGAAATGTTGCCAGCATGCAATGCAGGCAAAACGAGCTGAAAGGCTCGGCCGTACCTGAGGTTTGGGACGAGCGTGAATGTGGCTTGGGAGCTGAAGTGGTGCTTCTCTGTGCCCACAGATAGGCGACCGTACACTATAATGAACCGGGCTTGGACGCTTATAGAGGGTACAAACGGGTTGTCCAGCAATCTGTCATCAGTCGATGGGATAGAAAACAAGGAGCAGGTAAACAAGACATACAGCAATCGGGGGAAAAATATATCAAGAGAAGGCAGAGGCCATAATAACACACAGCAACGTGAGATTTCTTCTAATGCTTAGATTAGACATTAGTAAACAATGTATCAAACTAAACAGAACTTAAGCATCATATACATTGAGCCATGATACTGTTCTTCTGCTGTAGTAACCACTGTGTACCTCAGCCAGCCCTTTACGACGAGCAATCCCAGGCTGACACGTGGCACGTCCAGAAGCACCGCCCTGCCACATGGGATCGTCACATTGGCCCCCACGCTTGCCCCGATTCCAGGAACCTTCCCCCCCATGAAGGCCCACGTGGATGCTCGGCTCCACAGCTGCCAGACTGGAAAGAGGCGGGCGAGGGGGTGGGGGAGGGGGTGGGGGAGGGGGGAGAGGGGAGGAAGTGGGGTAGGGGAGGAATGGGGAGGAATGGGGAGGAGAGATTGAGGAAGAGGGGGAAGGGGGGGAAGATGGGGAGAGGGAAGAGAGGGAGGGGGATGAACCTTCCCCCCCATGAACGCCCACGTGGATGCTCGGCTCCACAGCTGCCAGGCTGGAAAAGGTGGGGTAGGTGGGAGGGGGAGAGGAGGGGGGAGGGAGGAGGGGAGGGGGGGGGGAGGGGGGAGGGGGGAGTGGAGGGGGAGGGGAGAGTGGGGAGGGGGGGGGGATGGGAACAGGGAGAGGGGAAGGGGGGGAAAGCTGAAATGTGGGTGAGGGGAAGAAGAGGCGGGTGGAAGGGTTGCGGCGGAAATGGGGGAGAGGCCGCTCTGCTTCAAGCTGCCAGACTGGCGGAGTAGGGAAGGGGGGGGGAGGGGGGAGGGGGGAGGGGAGGGGAGGGGGAGGAAGAGGGGGAGGGTGGGGTTGTTTGTCGGGGAATTGTGGGTGGGAGGGCGAAAGGAGAAAAGAGGCTACTTGACTCCAGAGCTGCCAGGCTGGGGGAAGGAAGGGGGGGGGGACGGGAAGGGGGAGCGGGGGGGGAAGGGAACGGGGCTACTCGGCTCCAGAGTGCCAGGCTGGAGGGCGGAGAGGGGGGAAGGGGCGGGAGGGGAGGGCACGGGCGAGCGGGAGGGGGAGGGAGGGGGGGGGAAGAGGAGGGTGAAGGGAGTCGAAGGGCGGGAGAAAAGGGGCTGCAAGGCTCTAGAGCTCCAGTGGAGAGAGGGGGGCGGGGGGGGGAGGGGGGAAGGGGGAAGGGGAAGGGGGGAGAGGGGGGAAGGGGAGGTAGCGACGCACCTCTGGGTTCTCTGCGCGGTAGCGGCCCGCAGGCCGGAGTGTAGGAGTCAAGTACGCTGAAAGGCGCCGCGGCCGCGCTTCGAACGCCGTCGAATCGCGTTCCGAGGAAAGCAGGCGACAGCAATACGAGAAGCAGCAGCAACAGCAGCGCGAGGGACGGAATCGTTTGGCTGGGCAGTTGACGGCTCGACAGTACTAGTAGTCGGCCCGTCATGGCGCCGCGTAAGGCTAGTACGCCGTAACTAGCCCGTGCGACGTCGTCGCAGAGGGAGGGAGGCGGCGACTGCTGCGACGGCTGTTGCGAAGCAAAGCGACGTGATGCGAAGCGACGCGAAAGACGCGGCGATCTTAACAAGGAGTTTCTACTATACGGGCAACCATGCTGCTGCCTTCTGGTCAACTCATGCGTCACTCGACCGCTCAACGGTTGTACTATCGCAGTAAAGTATAAGAAACGTTAAAAATCTGAAGATTCGGAGTAGCTCGGTTGCCTTAAGAAATAACCCCGCATTTTGACTGTAATCTAGTAAAGCAAAAACGCAATGATGTGCTGAAGGTGTGACGTCAGCGTCAATGGTCAACGCAACTCAGCGCCAGAACCGGAACAGATATTAGCGGAGTTAAAGCTGCACGTTAGGTTTTCGTACAAAGATTCCTCGCAACATAAGGATGAATAACAACCTAGTACCACAAGTTAGACGCCTATGCGACTCGGCAGACCAACTTATGCCTCAACTGTCCAACAAATTAGCCTTCTGTTTTCCCCTCCCTCGGCAACTATTCCCTTCTGGTCAGAGTTGAATAACCGGGTAACATCTCCTAACTCTGTCCCAACCTCCGCTCTAGTTTCGTGCATTTTCGTTCGCTCACAAGTACGAGTCGTGCTTGCTTCAGGGCGCCTCCGCTGCTGATTGGCTGGCGGAAACGCGACGGCGGCATGTTTACTCGACGATATTGTTGCACCCGTTGCCAGAACAAGAAACATTCTGAACCTGGGTGATATAAAAACGTTTTCATACGTTCTGAAAGAGCATGATGAATGCGTGATTATTTATTTATAGTGTGTTTTCATGATTGGCTAAAATTATATTTAGATAGCACACATTCTTATCTGTGGCGGCTGAAGAATCTTGTCGTCCTAATTTGAACACATAGTAAGTCTATGAGTTTAGGGTTTATTAAAAGTGAAGGTACTACTTTGCGCTGGTGTAATAGCGTGGATATTTGAGTGAGTTCTGGTTCCCTGTGAAACACGGCTCTTCATTTCCCCCTAGGCGAATGCGGCGCCGACGTGTAGGCGCACGATCCTGTACCTGGTCTAAGCCACGTTTCATCCTGACGTGGGCTAACGCGTGGCGGCGAGCGTCCGCCAGGATACTCCCTCAGGAGGAATCGTAAAGTCGAAGTCTGCGCCACATCCATCTTGGATTTTTCACATTGGGCTTTCATTTCCAGATCCTAACCTTCTGACCGAACTGGAACGAACCGAGTTCTGCAATATCATGTTACTATTTCACCCCACTCACTCGCTCGAAGTTGTTGGTGGGAGACAAAGCCCGCCAAACTCAGATTTGGTACATTCCCGCGCGTTTTCAAATATGCATTGCTTCAAACTGCCGAATCGCAGGCGGTTCATTGTGCGTAGCCCCAGAGCCTTTCCGCCTGCTCGTTTGGGTGCTTTGCGATTAACTCCTGCGATGCGAAACGAGCGACAAATTGAGCTGGCGCAAGGTAGGTGAGGGAAGGTGAGGTGAGGCGAGGCCCCAGAACAGGCAGACCACACTACACCACAAACTTTGGACTTGCAGTCGCATGCACCCAACCACCACCTTCCGCCCACCAAGCTGGAACACACAAACCATCTTGAACGTCGTTCGGTGGTGTCCTTTGGGTGCCTGCGTGAACACCTGCGATGAAATGCGACGTGAGCGAATTTTCAAATACTCCGCCAAGCGAGGAAAGACACCAAACGAAGCGTCGCACGGCACGCCGCACACGATCATGCTCGCCGCAAGCACCCAGCAAAGCCCAACCCAGAAAATAGCGCTTGACCGCCAGCTCTTGCCAAGCTATTTGTACATAGTACAATCCGCGTGGTTGACCATTCGTGTGATTAGAGGCTTTACTTCACCGCCAGCTCGCTAATCGTTTGCCTACCTGCCGGCCGAACTTCACCCCTTCACGAGTTGTCAACTTCATTACCTCTCTTCAATCTTCCAAGTTACCTCCTCGATTTTTGCTAATCGCCATGGATGCTCCTCACCTAGTGAGACCGAGCGCGGTTGTCGAGCATTCTTTCAGCCTTCAAGATACTCCTCGGCACATTTCCGAGTTCCCGGACCGGTTCTCCAAGTCGCTTCCAGAAGCTTCAACTCCTGCATTCCTGCTTGACGCACTTCACGAGGCGAGGCCTGTATTTGCGCCGCGAAACATGGAAACAAGCGCTGGGACTAACGATGGGAAGCAACCTACGTGCCGTCACGCGAGTCTCAAGACGATGCTTGTGATTTCTCCGTTCAAGACGCGGTTGAAGAGGACACGAAGCTGCACACTTATCACAGCGCTTGCACATACTGAAGGTAACGCACGATCTAATTCTTAACTAATTAAGTGCTAATCATTTTTCTTTTCTTCCTCTAGACGTAAAATTTCCTTATCAGCACCTCATAATTTTGTATCTTCAATTTGTGTGAAATAACTCACGGTTTCCTCTGTTGCCTCTCCTGATTTGCGTGCAGCTGATTCTCTATTAACGGGGATGAACATTGTCACAAAAACTCCGGAGAACGCAGTCAGCAAATCTCTTCTCGTGGGGGCAGATCCGCTCCGCATGGCGCTGCTCTGTTGCCCGTGCACTCCGCGGAAACCCCAACGCCCCTCGAAATTCCGCCTCAACGTCGCATGCATCCCAACTCGACTCATGCGTCGCCTCGTTTTTTGACAACTCACTGTCTCATCCTCATGCTACTTGGTTGCTTACGAGTGCGCGCGTCTACTTGTAACGGGGATGGGTCTGGCTGTAAAGCCAGGGTCTCACGTACTACAAGTGCTTTGCAATTGATGGTGAAAGTGTGGCTTTGATTGGTTGGCGAGTTGTAAGGTTCGAAGTGGGGTGAAGCGAGGGGTGCGAAGCAAACGTAAATCGCTGGGGGTAACCGAACCATCTAGGCTTGGAAACTTGGTTCGGAGCCAAACCTAAAATGCCCCCAACTCATCGAAAGTCTCAAGTACCCAAAAGTGTTGTGCAATTGCTTTTGGGGCAGTGACGCAAGCTGAGTTTCCAACCCAACCAGAGACAACTTTGCCAGCACGAACTTGGTTACCTAGCTTCAAGTGCTTTGCAGTCGATGGCTCCTTAGCTTACATGAGACCCTGGCTTTAAATCTGCCAGCACTCACAGCGCGGTGACAGCGTGGACGAGGTTCGACCCAGCATTTGTCGATCCTGATCGTCGATATTCCGCCTGTCTCCTGGAATCATCGCGTCCGCTAGGCCTCTCGCCACATGAATTCTCCAAAATCACCGCGGAACTCCGCGGGGGACTTCGCGGAATTCCCAAGAGAATCTGAGGATTTGCCAATGGTGCTCTCAGCTTCCCCATGGGTGCCCGCTCTGCATGACACGCTCAACGGGTCTCACATGCGTTCATTTCAGTGCATGCGGATTCACAGCGGCTCGCCAATGACATTCCGTCCGAATGGGGTGCGCGGGAAAACATGATGGGTCATCATGTTATCGAGGAGCCTAAAAAATGGGTGAAAGCTGGACGTGAGACAACCTCGGATGAAGGTTCTGTGTTGCCTCAATTTTCGTCTGATGAAACTGCACTTGACCACCACCTGATCACCCTTGATTATCTCTGCATAGTTTCCTGGCTATTTGAGTACTAACAAACATGCGACGAAGAATCAACATCTCACATAACTGAAAGTACCTGCTTGAACCTCTCAACACCGCACTACAATTTAAGCAGGATCATGCAATCTAATCAGTTATACTACCATATTTCCAAGATGATACAGTGGAAGCGGGAGTGATTCCATGCAAACATGCCACTAACCCTCTATGATCACTCCTGCATCCAGTGCAACATCCCAACGACCCGCTCTTCCCCCAACCCTTCTCAACCAATCAAACCTAGAGCCACGAACTGCAGGTAGGTCCCAAGACCACGTCTTCAAATGCCGACGGGGAGGCATTCTGAGGGATCTCAAATGTCAGTCTCAACTCCTTTCTAGGCACCTCAATTGTAACAGCTTCAGCTTCTAGTGCCGACGGGGAGGTGGGGACGGGGCCGGCGCAGGAGCAACCTTCCTCAGTAGCAGCCTGCCAAACAGCTCCCTAGCTGGTTCTCTCTCTCCTGCTGCCTGTACTGATGCTGGTACTGCTGGTTCTGCTGGTACTGCCACAGGAGGGGGGGGGGGTGGAGACTCACCGATGCTACTACCTCCAGTGGTGTTCGTAAGGTTCCGTGCGGTGAATTCATTCTCGCTGTAGTCATCATCACCCCCATCCTCGCTATAAGCAACCCCGGTACTAGAGGTACTACCGCTGGGAACGTACGAAGCAAATTTGCCGACACTCTTGCCCACAAGGGTGCTGCTGCCGCTGCTGCCAGTGCTGCTGCCGCTGCTACCACTGCTGCTGTCACTGCTGCTGCTAGTGCTGCCGGTCCAGCTGTCCATGCTCCCAGTGCCAGGCTCATAGAAGCTTGGATCGTAATACGGGTCCACAGCGGAAAAGGACGACTCTGTGCCACCCAGCGGCGAGACTGACAGGGGCGGCAGAGACGACGTGCTGGCTGAACAAGCACTGTAGATTGGATCGGGGGGAGAGGGGAGAGGGGGAAGGAAAAGGGTGGGGAGGAAGGGTTGAACAGAAAAGGACAAGAGGTATGAAAGGGGGAAAGTGGGGGGGAAGCGGGGGAGCATCCACAGGAGGGGAGCAAGACGGGCTACTCACGAGTCGGAGGAGCAAGCAGTGCTGACGCCTTGCTCCAGTTCCATTGAAACCAGCCCCCTGCCGCTGCTGGTCGCCCCAATATCCAGTTGCAGCCTCGCCTTCCCTCCCCCGCACGCGTACTCCTTATAAACCCTCGTCGCATCCACTAAAGAGCACGGCACTGTGGGGGCGTTTGCCGTCCATTTGCTACTCGACTTCGGCGAGTCGATGATTAGGGAAACCGCGCCGGAACACCCCTGCCAATCGAACACGTTTAGCTGCATTTTACTCGGGTAAAAGTTACTGTTAGTATCTGCCGGAACCACCTCTATCCTGTAAGTGTACCCGGCTAAAAGCGATGCAGTTAAGTAGCGATTCTTTTTCCCTGGGCCCGCTGGTCCGGCATTAGGGTCATCATTCTCGGTTCCGTATGCGTAAAACACCGTCCCATCGTCTGTTCGGGTGATTTTCAAGTAGGAGTAGGGCCGGCTAACAGCACTCGGGCTAGCTGTCGTCCCCTTCGATCCAACCCCGGACTCTTCGTATTGAAGCCCGACCGACCGGTAGCAGACAGAAGTGCAGGAATACGCCGAAAAGGCACTCTTGAAGTCGCACTTTGCCGCCCGGACGGCGGCAGGCGGCAGGATGGGGTCGTAGTTGGCAACGGCGTAGCCTGATTGGCCGAGCAGCGACCCGTCGAGATCGCGGATGGCGTAGAAGCGTGCCAGCAGACCTCCCCGGGGTGGTGGGCCAGAGGACTGGCAGGAGGAGAGGGAGAGAGAAAGTTGGAGAGATGGAGGGGAAGATGAGCGTGCGGCAGGTAGAAAAAAATGCAGTGTTGGGGAAGGAGAAACGGCATATAGACACAAGGAGAAACGGCATATAGACACAAGGAGAAACGGCATATAGACACAAGGAGAAACGGCATATAGACACAAGGAGAAACGGCATATAGACACAAGGAGAAACGGCATATAGACACAAGGAGAAACGGCATATAGACACAAGGAGAAACGGCATATAGACAAAAGGAGAAACGGCATATAGACACAAGGAGAAACGGCATATAGACAGCATACAAGAGGCTGTAAGGGGAACAAGAAGTTTCTTTTCAATTATACATGAAGGGAGGGAAAGGAGAGAGAAAACATGGGAAGGGGAAGAGTGACGGGGAGGAGAGGGGAGGAGGAGTATGAGTATTGACCGGTATGCAAGGAACTCGATGTTCAATCAGGACCCAATGTGGACTCATTGTACGGGGGTACAAGGGAAAGAGCAACTCACTGGATTGGGTGTGGCCCAAAACTTCTTAGTCCCTGAGCCAAAGGACAAGCCCTGCAGAAAGAGCAGAGGATCGGACAAGCGGGAGAAAGAGGGGCGATGAACAAGAGTGCGATGGTACAAAAAAATTTAGGCACCTCAAAAGAAAGAGGGGCGATGAACAAGAGTGCGATGGTACAAAATCACAAAAAGACTGCAAAAACACACAACAGGCCAGAAATTTTCTCAGTGGGTTCTAGCAAATGTGACTGTAACAAACAGCACATTAAAGAACGTGACTGTAACAAGCGGTACCTTAACGAACATGGCAGTGTTCCAGTACCCGCCAGCCTTATTTGCCACAAGAGCGATGCCAAAACTGTTGCTGCTGCACGTGCCAAAGCGGTGGAAGCTGGGGAAGGGAGGAGAGGTGGGAGGAGGGGGGCAAGAAGGTGGGGGAGAGAAGAGGGGAAAAAAAAAAAAGGAATGCTCCTCTCAGCCAAAGGTATTCAGCAGCAGAAAGCGTTACAGATGAACCCAGATTGGCGCTCAGACAACATGAGTCATGATTGAGGATAAAATCTCACCCCATTACCAGTACTGCACCAGCACCTTATGACGAGTACTGCTGCTCTGACAGAGAATACATAAGGTGTAACAAAGCAACTTATAAAAAGTAAGTGAAGACACCTTATAACGGGTAACAGACCATCTCATCAGCTGTCCTGTATGGTATGTTAGGGTACAGGTTATAACAAACAACGGTCTGGATTGGCGTGACTTATGACGATTAGCGGAGTCCCTAATAACGAGTACAAGCAAACTTACGAGGTGTCTTGTATGCCGTTGGGAAACAGGTTGTCCTGGGGGTTGCTCTGACTCAGTGTGATTCCCACCGGCGCCTCGAACGTCCCCACCTTCTCGTCCAAAGCCACCAGCGGGTCAACACTCCCATCTCCTACCCCCCCATCCACCGGATCCTGAAACGCCTTGTTATAAGGATCCCTCTTATTGGTATAAGCCGGCGCTGAGTAGCTCCCTTTGTTGCTGCCGCTGCCGCTGCCGCTGCTCCCCGATGGGTCGAAGTAGGGGTCGAGGGGGCCTAGGGAGGCTTGCAGAGTGAAAGGCTCCCATAGAGTGGTGGGGCCGGCTGGGACGTCAGAGCCTGCTGCTGTGTCAGCAAGAGTCGTTACGCCTTTGGAGGAGGATGTCCTGTACAGGGGAGAGGGTGGAAGGGGGGTGGGAGGAATGGGGGGAGAGCCCAGAGGTGGGAGGGAGGGAGAAGGAGCAGGAAAGGGGAGAGTCTGCTGTATCAGCAAGAGTCGTTACGGCTTTGGAGGAGGACGCCCTTTACAGGGGAGAGGGGGCTGGGGGAGGAGGGGAAAGGGCACGTAGGGGGGAGGGAGGGGGAAGAAGCAGGCAAGGGGAGGATCTGCTGTATCAGGAAGGGCTGCTGCTGCTACAGCCTTGGCGTGTTAAGTGGAGGCGTTGTAGGGGGGAGAGAGTGAGCAAGGGAAGGGCCAAGTGGAGCCTGCTGCATCAGCAAGAGCTTCTGCTGCTGCTGCTGCCGCCGCCGCCGCCGCCGCCGCAGGTGCTGCTACAGCCTTGGCTTGCTGAGTGGAGGCGTTGCTGGGAGAGAGTGAGAGCAAGGAAAGCGGGAGAGATCAGGGAATGAAAGATAAGAGGGGGTGGAAAAGTGAAGGGTGCAGAGCGAAGGGGAAGGACTCACGGGCAGGCAGAGGAGGAGCGGCCGATGAAGCGGCAGCCCTTGGCTTGCACGCCGGCATTGCGGCTCAAGTCGATGCCGATTCCATTGTCCAGAAACACCCCGTTCTCCACTATCAGCCGCTCGCTGTTGAAAAAGAAGATGCTGCAGAAACGGGGATAAGATAGGAAAAGGAAAAGCGTGATGTGAGGGAGTGGTATGATGTGAGTGACTAACAGGATGCTAGAGAAGCAAAAACTTTAGGTGAGATTAGACAAAGAAGCTCTTAAGGGGGAAGACAAGAGGGAAAAAAAAGGAGTACACTCACTCACCCTGCCTTGTTGCGGTAAATGAGGAAGTTCTTAAGGGAGACGCGGGGATTCTGGGTGGTTGACGGGTATTTGGGCCGGGACCCATGGGGGTAGGTGCGGAATCCAATGAGGTTGGAGTGGGCGTGGTTGCCGTCCCACGTGCCCCAGTTGTAATAGAAGGGCACCGTTGAGCCAATCTGAGGCAGCAGCCGCGACAGACCCCGCATGTATGGATTGGCCTCCAGCCAGAACCTGATGGAAGGGCGAAGGGAGAGAAATAGGGAGAAGGGTCGTGAGAACGAAGGATTGAGGAGAGGAATGGTCAGTTAGGAACAGTATGGAGGAGGGTGAGCGGGAAGTAGGGGGAGCGGGGAGAGTATGGAAATGTGTGGAGCTGACAAGGAGGAGAGGGGGAAAGGGGAGGTAGGGAAGTGGGCAATGGGAAGCAAAAGGGGGAGGGGGGAGGGAGAGGGGGAGGGGGAGCTGAGAGGGGGAAGGGATGTAGACAGGGGAGGGGATCAGAGAGGAAGAGAAAGGGGAGAGGGCTGACCCTGAATCCTCAGAACCAGCGGCAACATTGTCAATGAAGCTGCTGAAGGGTGTGGCGAGCCAGAAAATCGTCGGCTGCTTGTCGGTTTGGAAATCCAGCCGGTTGGAACTCGCTGGTGGGATGACTTGGGTGACCTTCCTCGCGTTGATCCCAAGGTTCCGCCGAAACACATTTCGCATTTCCGACCCCTCCTCCAGCAGGTAGCAGTGGCCCTTCGTTTCGTACGAAACGTTTTCCTCTATTGTCATGTTACCCGTCGCGTGAATCACCATGCATCGCTGCTTCGTGAAAACGATTGCGTTTTTTCGCACCACGTGGTTCTGCCCCTCTTGCCCGCACACATGGAAATGCAAGGGGTATTTACCCAGTGTCCCCTGCTTTCCCAGGGCACGGAATTGCACGCCCACGATTTCTTGGGCTGTTGGAGTCATATAAACCATGAAGTTGCCACCTGCAAAAGGCGGATTAGGCGGTGGAAACAGGAAAGCGATAAGTACCGTTAGAGCCAGTAACCGAGAAATAGCTATCCCATGGAGGACCCTCCGAGAGGACGATAATACCTTGAACCATAGGGTCCTAAAGAACCGTGTTACCCTGGACCGAGATACGATTGTTCCCATCGCGTAGAGGCTAGTGACGTGAAACAGAGAGACAATAAACTAGCCTCTCACCGTCGTATTGATGCGGCGCGGCCTCGTCGTTCCCGGTGATCACGATGTGGCGGTCTAACAGCGCGACCTCTCCGTAAATCCCCACCGTCCCTCCCACCCCGTCCGAAATCTCCACGCCCTCGTGCCGCTTCTTAAGCGCCGTCTTTAAATTTATCCGATACCGCCCGTCGCTTTTCCCGGGTGCTGACGCGGGCGTGACGACGGAAACGGACGCGATGGCGTGGTGCTCCGCGTCGTTGAGATCTGCTGACGTGGACGCCAGCGCGATCGTCATCCCGGGTGCCCAGCGCGTCACGTCCGTATCCACGTAGATTGCCCGCGCGCCCGGGTTGGCCGTTTCAGTGAGGCGCACCCACGAGGGCGTGTTGCTGCCGCCCGGCATGCCGTACAACCTCACTTGCCCGCCCACCTGCGCGGATAGGACGGGAGGAGGGGAAAGCGCGGAGGGGGGGAGCAAGGGGGGACGAACAGGAGATTGGATTGGAGGGTGAGAGGGACGAGGATGGGGAAGGGTTGCGGTGCGGTGCGGGTAAAACGGGATTCGGAAAATGGGAAAACAGCGTTACTAGTTACTCACCACGGCGAACGTCTTGTGCCCCAAGTCGCGCGGATTGCCTTTATCCGCCGGGCTCTGATATTTGAGTTGGTACGGCTTGCGGCCGCCCATGAAGTTCTGGAACAGCGTGAACGTCACGCGTCCCGCGAAGTGCTTATCCGGCTCGCCCGCCGTCAGGCGACCGAACACCATGATGTAATTAGCGCGCACGTGGATCTTGGGGAGCTTCGGAGAGTCGAGAACCCTGATTGCCGGGAGAAGAGGGGGGAGATGGGGAGTAGAAGAAGGAAGGGGGGGAAAGGGGGGATGGGGGGGTGGGGAAGAGGGGGTTGAGGGGGAAAGGGGGCAGAGGGGAATAGCGCGGGAGAGAGGGGAGAGAGGGTAAACATCTGCCTGTTGGGCTTGACAATACGTCAGCCGCCTTCAGCCGCCCGAGCACCATGATGACGTAGGTCGAACGCGCCGCATCACCAGGATTTTCGGAAATTTAAGAACCCTAAGAAGTGCAGAGGAGGGAGGGGGGAGCGAGGTGTTGAGGGAAGGTGGAGGGGAGGGAAGGGAGGGGGCGTAGGGGGGGGAGGGGGAGAGCCGAAAGGGCCAACGGGAAGAGTCAGCAACGCGAATAGCGGAAGCCTGCGGAAACGGAAGCGCTGAAGCGCGAGATACGGGAAACTGTAAATAACGAATTCTCTTTCGACAGAGCAAAGAAGAAGCTTCCAAGCATTGTCTATTGTTAACCCTAACCTTAACTTATGCGTATACTCACTTTAGCCACCCCTTGACGCGCAGTCGTCGCACGCTTATATAGGGTACATCCAGTACTACCGCCACGCCGCACGGAATCGTGACGTCAGCCCATCGCTGCAGCCCGCGACCCGGAACGCCTAGGATGCGAGCCTTATTTCCCCACGTTCTCCAATCGCTCCACCGTTTAAAGCCTCCTGCAGGCGGCTCTGTCATGAGCGTTCCGCACGCGGGGCTGTACGCGTCTGTGGCTCGAAACGCAGCGGCGTGGACTAGCGACACGTGGAAGCTTGCGACGAGGGCGATGAGCGCCGCGACGAGGAAAGGGGAGAACTTAGGGGCGACGCGCGGTCTAGCAGGAACGCCGGAACGACGCGAGAAATGTATGGTCGTCATGTATGGCTGTAGTGTCAACTGATAGTACTGAGAGGATGTGTAAGAGGTGATAGTATGTAGACAGCTGCGTACCATGAAGAAAAGCAGCAATGGTTAGGAAATGGCCTACGGCTCACGGGTCGAAGGGAGCAAGCGGACGAGAGGACAACCTGCCGAGCTTCGATCGAGGCTAAAAAATGGCGACTTGGGTTTTTGCTGGAAACGAAGCTAGGCGTTGCGAGCAAACTGAGGGTTTGCTGCTGCTACACGTTTCGTAAGCGGTCCTAAATACATATGGGTTTCCGATTAGGTCGCAGAAGAAGCCGTTGCATTGCTTATGTAATGCGAGTGGATGGCGAGCAGGTAGTACCTTAGCGTCGGCAACGTGAGAACGTGGAATCTAGGATGGCGAGGGTGTGGATGGACTGTACAGTATGGAGCAAAGTGTGTGCGGGTCGACCGACAAGCGCGGGTCAAGTAAACGGTGGGTGAGTGATGTGTCGTGGGGGTTGTGGAGAAGCGGAATGAACGAAGGTTACGGTGCACGGGCGGCGTGATGGACTGCCTGAATGACGATGGATGGAACTGACGAGAAACAAGGAATTCAAGAAACGAATGGCGAGAAAGAAGGCAGTGAAGTGGTATTCCATTGAACGCTAGTCGCACAGGGAAGAGGGGGTAGGAGGCGGGGGATGGGTCGCACAGGCGACAAGGTGGAGGTCCGTTATGAAGACGAGACGAGTGGGAAACGAGTGGATGGACGATTGCTGGCGATATCGCTAGTGGTAAGCTGTAACCACAAGGGTTTTGTTGGACGACGGGAAGCTGCAATGGTAGGAAATCGGCCAGAATAAATTGGGGGTTCGGGGCTTGGGGATGGGGGTGATGTATGTGTGCGACAAGTTTCGAGCAGGTACGGATGGAGCAGGCTGCAAGCTGACTTGCTGGCGAACCTTCAACGGAGAAACGTGCGGGACATTGCGATGATGAACGACCTACAAGAAGCTCAAATAAAAGGCATCGATTGGTGGACGACGACATCTTCGATGTGCGTGGGGTACCTCACCGACATGATGTGTCGCACACATATCGTGGGCGGCGCTACATTGGTTTCCGTCAACAAATGGAGCCGCAAGACGAATGTCCGGTGCGCGATTCGACACACTTCGTTCGTTCACAGACGGGCAGGTGACGTGACATTCTCTTAGTGCTGTTCGTAACACACCGCCCGATTGTTGCGTCCTTATGCGACTTCAGTCTCCCGCAAACACGGTCAACACAAACACAAACAATTTGTGTTCCATACTCTTGGGCAGATTCGCTCATTTGGTTGGGCAGCCACGCTCGAAAGAACAGCTGCACTGAAACTGTACAGTGCTGTATTCCGAAAAACCGTCCACGTGACGGGGTAGCCTGCTCTGCGACAAGCCTTCCAGCAACTGTTGTACAGATACATACGTCGGCGGTGCGATTTGAGAAGTGCGTTGGCGGTTCACCATTGCCGCCAAAGCCTCCCCAAGTGCAAAACGTCATCTCGTAAAGGGGAACATATCTACACATAAGCAGATTCCACTTATCTAAAACTATCTTAGAGTTGTGCTTTGATTTTGAAAGAGGCCCCTAGACTCACTTGGTACGGCAAAAAACGCTGACGATCAGTGATACCAAGGAAAAAAACTGTTATGAGTTGTACAAGAGTGCGCAGGATAACAAATAATGAAGATGTGACTCAATGAACTGACGGTTCAATGAAAGGCACGCGATTACATAGCGGGACAACCTAGCAAGGCCAGAACCTCAAAAACATGAGGTTGGGTGCAGGTTGGGCAAGGGAAAGCTGAAGGTGACTCGAGGTTGCTTCGACAGCAAGCAAAGTGGCCGAACGTGCGATTCCGAAAGTTGGGGTTGTATGCGGTTGAGTAAACCCCAAAAGGGTTTTTCCTTACACTACCCCCCCCCCCCCCCCCCCCCCCCCCCCCCCCCCCCCCCCCCCCCCCCCCCCCCCTCCCTGTCAGAACGAGGAATGATGATGCCATTGATGTTGGTTGGGGTACATATAACAAACCCTAACTTCTGTACCCCCTAAGACAAACCTCACTACAGGCTACAACATTTGACACACCCCCATAGCCTAAGTGAGGGGTGTCTAGCAAAATAAAAAAGAGTACGGTCACAAGACCAGTCCAAAAGAAAACAAAGCTCAGGGTGGATCACAACGTCACCACACTCTCTGAGCACAAGCAACAGTGGCCACAAGGCCAGTCCAAGAGATCACAAGTATATATAGCAAGAGTACAGACGAAGCAGGCAATAAACTCAAGCCTACACATGACTAGAACCTGTGTCAACAAGGCCTAACTGCACACAACACCTCTGGTGGTCACGAGGCGGAAGCGCCTTGGTGAAGATGTCTGCAGTGTTGGCCTCGGACTCCACAAACTCGAAGCGAGCCTGTCCACGTCTCTGCAACTCTCGTAGAAGAAAGTACCTGACGTGAATGTGCTTCACTCTGCTCTCCAGTCGCGGCTCACGACAGAGGAGGATCGACGCCTTGTTGTCAGTGAACAAGGTCGGTGCAGAGCTTGGCCGCTCACCAAGGTCGGCGAGCAAGAAGGTCAACCAACGCAACTCCTGTGCCGCCATGGCACCAGCGTAAATCTCAGCCTCAGTTGTAGAGGTCGAGACAGAAGAGGAGCGCGTGGAACGCCAGGAAACAGCTCCAGAACCCAGACTGAAACAGTACCCCTGAGTAGACCTGTGAGTCTCAGCGTCGTCAGCGTAAGAGGAGTCACAGTGACCAGTGAGTACGACAGACTGCTGCCCTCCAAGAACTAGCCCCACGCCTGATGTAGTCGCTAGGTACTTCGCCACCCTCACAGCTGCCGTCCAGTGAACAGGACGGTGTCTCCCTGGCGCAACAAAGCGCGCAAGGATGCTGAGAGGGAAGGCGAGGTCCGGGCGAGTACAAGTCATCAGGTACATGAGGCAACCCACAAGCTCTGCGTAGGGACCACTAGGCTCAAACGGCTCGTCAGGAAAGGGACCAGTGAGTCTGTGGTCAACAGCGAGAGGTGTGCGCTGTACGGTGGAGTGCTGAAGCCCGAACCGCTGAAGGACCTGCTGCACCATGTGTGACTGTGAGAGTGTAATGGTGCGAGCGGCTCTGTCCCTGGTGATCTGCAGGCCAAGGTAGTGGCGCAGTTCACCAAGATCAGTGCACGTGTCTCTCTTCTGCAGTTCGGACTTCACGTCTGCCAAAGCAACCCTGTCCGGAGTGGCGAAAACGAGGTCGTCGACGTAAACCAGAACAAAGAACGGTGTGGAGCCACGACGAACGAACAGCGACGGGTCGGCAGAAGACGGCTGGAACCCAAGGCCAGAGAGGGTAGAACGCAGAGTGTCGTGCCACTCACGAGAGGCCTGGCGAAGACCGTAAACAGGTCGCCTCAGCCTCCACTGGGTCCCAGGAGGGAAAGTGCCAGTGAAGGCCGAGGGACGACGCAACCAGACCTCCTCGTGTAGGCTGCCCTGAAGGAAAGCAGTGGAGAAGTCGAGAGAGTGTAACTCGTAGTCTCTCTGTGCTGCTACGTGTAGTAACACCCGAAGAGTGGTCATCTTCGGGGTAGGTGCGAAGGTCTGAAAGAAGTCAACTCCCTCGCGCTGACTGAAACCTCTAGCCACGTAGCGCGCCTTGAAGACCGGGGGAGATCCCGGTGGCCGCTTCACCCTGTAGATCCACATGCCGTCGACTACGTTCGCCCCAGGGGGGGGAACCTCATCGACGTAGGTGCCTGTGGATCTGTAGGAGGCCATCTCTGCGTCCATGGCAGCTCTCCACTGAGAGGCCCAAGGCCCTGACACTGCCTCAGCGTAAGTGCGAGGAGTCGGAATGTCAAGGGCGTCGGGGTCACCCTCAGGGGCGAGGAGCATGGCACAGAGATGAGGGGAAGCGGCCGCCAGGAACTCTAGCTCAAACTGCCTGTCCTCTAGGGCGTCACAGCCAAGGGCAAACACACCCCCGACGGCCAGAGGACTGGTAGGAGGAGCAGTCACAAGCGTGGTGGCGTAGTCAAGGCGGCGGGTAGAGGCAAAGTCAGTAACTGCGGCAATAAGAGCGGACACAGAGGACACAGAGGCACGAGGGTGAGTAACAAGAGAGGCGAGAACACGAGAGAGAACAGGACGGTACGTGCGGTAGTAGTCAGTGACAGGAGTAGGGAGCGACACAGTGAGGGCCGACTCAGGAGGAGACGGAAGCACAGACTGAGACGGACGAGGTGGACTAGAAAGAAGGAAGGCAGTACGAAGGTCAGTGAAGGGAACAAGAGACGAGGGACGAGCACGAGGGGAGCGACGAGTAGCCCAAGAACGAGACGGAGGAGGAGAGGACAAAGGCGGAGAACTGGGGAAAACAGCGGGGGAGGAGTCAGGAGGAGGAAACGTGGGACCGTAGACAGGAGGAGAGGCGGAGGAGGGAGGAGAAGGGGAGGGGAGACCAAGGGTCCGAAGACCCGAGACAGGAGGAGGAAGTGACTACTGCTGCTGCTGCTGCGACTGCTGCTGCTGCGGAAGCGGCTGCTGCTGGGACTGCTGCTCCTGTGGGTCCAGCTGCTGCTGCTGCTGCTGCTGCTCCTGCGGCTCCAGCTGCTGCTGCTGCTCCTCCAGCCGCTGTAACTCCCTCTCCTCTCTCTCCAACGCCAGCTGCTCGTCACGGGCACGGCGAACACGAGCCTGGTGCCTAGTCGGGTAGGGGTGGGGGGGCGGAGTAGTGTCCGAAGCAGCGGTAGCTCCAGAATCCACCCCCGAAGAACCAGGCGCACCACCCCCAGAGGCAGCACTAACACCAGCTCCAGACCCAGGCTCGCCAGAACCCGAAGGAGGCGCACTCTCACCCCCAGTGTCCGCGCGACCAGCACCAGCTCTCGGACGACAAGAGTCCTCTGCACCCACCGGGTCAGCTCCAACTCCAGAACCAGAAACTCCAGCTCCAACTCTAGCTCCAACCCCAGCACCCCCAGAAC